AGTGCTTTGCCAGTTTTAAGTTTGTAATTGATGAAGGGAACTCTACTCTGATGGGTACCCTTCACATTAAGTTTTTTGGAGTTAAGAATAGGTTTTGTAGGATCCCAGATGGAAGGCTCCCCAGAATGAAACTGATGGCACTATAACAATTGCTTTCACTGAGAAAGCAAAGTGATAGGCATTATAATGAAAACTGGTCTTTGTGTATGAAAACTTTGGGGAGTGATCTAAATGTTACAATGAATCATATTCTGAGTGATGGAGAAAACTTCTGTTATACACAGGATATCCCACATGTCTTAGTTCAGTTTAAACAGCTTAAAAAGCCACTTAAAAACTTTTAAAAATAGCTTTAAAATCCTTTTTATCTCATTCTCCTACTTTGGGTGGAGGAACCTTTCTTTCCAGTTTGCAAAATGATTATATGTGAATGGGTGAAACACTAAAAGTCTGCCAGCAACCAAAAGTTCTCTTTGTGGGCGTAGAATAAACTTGGGATTGAAAGTCATTGACCTTGGGCCACAGCACCCAGGTAGGCCAATTTCAAATTACTTGGGGATAAGAGTGAGCCATTCTTGTATGTGGGATGTGTGTATAGTGGCCTCAGCAAAGTCAAGATGTGCCAGGCAAGGGTATGTTAGTTTTCTTTTACACTCAACTCTCCATTTGCAACTCTTTTTGTCACTAATTTTTTATCATTAACATACTGAAAATACCATTAACCTATCAGTAGCATTAGATTATTCTTGAAGACTAACCGCTGTAATCTATGGGCAAAGATATACTCTAAAGGGAAACTTTAAAAACATGGATTTCTTTTTTACTGAGGAAAGATTTCAATTTTTACCTCCAATATCCAATCAGTGGTCAAGTCCTGTCAATTCTACCTTTATACCATCTCTCTCATTTGCCCCTTCTCTCCTCTGATGCTGCCACCACTCTAGTGCAGGCCCTTATCATCTCACATCTGGACTACTGGTTCACCTCGCTGCCTCAGATGTATCCCCACTCCACTCTTTCTTCCCAAAACACGGGCCTGACCTGTCACTCCTCTATTCAATAAACTCCAGTGGCTTCCTATTACCTTCAGGATCAAACATAAAATCTTCTGTTTGGCTTTCAAAGTTCTGTATAGTCTCCATAACTTGACCCCTTCCTATCTTTCCATTCTTCTTAAGACCTTATCTTCCCCCCTCCCCCCCAACTCTATGGTCCAGTGACACTGGACTCCTTGCTGTTCCTCCACAAATAACTCCATTTCTCCACTCCAAGCATTTTCACTGGCTGTCCGCCACACTTGGAAATCCTGGCTTCCTTCAGGTCTCACCTAAAATCTCAGCTTCTGCAGAGGCCTTTCCCACTCCTTAATCTTAAATGATTCATGCTGAGATAACCTTTAATTTATCCTATTATTTAGCTCATGTGCTTGTTGTCTTCCTTATTGGACTTCCTGAGGGCAGTGACTTTTTTTTTTGCCTTTGTTTCCCCAGTGCTTAGCACAGTGCCTGGCACATTAGGTGCTTGAAATTGGAGATGTCCCACTAGCTCAAAATAAAAGCAGCTGGGATGTAGATGAAAGTGCACTGAACTGGAGAATATGAAGACTTGGGTTCAACTCAATATTCACTTACTATGTGCAAAGTACTTATGCTAAGTGCTAGAAATATATTGACAAAACAGTCCCTGCCCTCAAAGACCCTAATTCTCTTTGCCACTAGCAGGTGTGACTTTGGGCAAGTTGTACCACCTCTTGTACTATTTTCTTTCTTGTCAAGTTGATGGGAATTTTTTTTGGGGGGGGTTTAGGCAATGGGGTTAAGTGACTTGCCCAAGGTCACATAGCTAGTTAAGTGTCAAGTGTCGGAGGCTGGATTTGAACTCAGGTCCTCTGGACTCCAGGGAGAGCACTGCACCACCTAGCTGCCCTTGCTGATGAGACTTTCTAAAGCAGGAGGTCTTAATCTGAGATCCAAGATACCTGGAAAGGGCCCATAAATAGATTTCAGGGGATCTGTGAAATTGTTTAATTATGCTGAGAACTGTATTTCAGTATCATTGATTTCCTTTGTAATCCTTTGTATTTCATTTCATTCATTTAAAAACATTATCCTGAGGAGTCTATAGGCTTCAGCAGACTGCCAAAGGAGATCAGGTTACAAAAAAAAGTTAAGAACTCTGGTTCTAAATCGATGTCCATCTCATCTCTAATATTCTGTGATTTAGAATAGTGGTGATGGCAGCCTATCAGTGGTTGAAGTCTGTGTGGATGATAAATAAGTGATAATGAGAGGGAGGGAAATGATCTCTTGAAGGGATAGAGGGATGTTAGATGAGGTATTGAGACAAATAAGGAAGTTCTGAACGATGATGGCAAGAAATGGGGAATAAAGATTGTAAGCCAGGTGCTGAAGGAGCCAGGCCACTGGGAAAGGTGGAAGTACCTTAGGTCCTTTGTGATGAAACTCTAACAGTAAACTATTGCCTGGTATTTGTGATAAGGCAAAAATAAAAAGGAATGGGCATTTCAGATCAGGGACTTAGGTACAAGTAGAAGTGGCAGAAGGGAAAAAGGTATTTAAGAACTGGGTAATTTAAAATCTCTGGACCCAAGGAACTACATAAACTCAGGGACTATGATTAAGAGGCCTCCTACCTTGACTTATTCTTTTGATACCAGTTTAGAAATTAGTGAAGGAAGGCACCTTGAGTAATATCACCTGCACAGTTTCTAAGGAGGAGCTTATGGCTCAGGAAGCTGGAGTAGTCATTAAGATCTATGGTCCAAGACAAGATCCTTCGTAGATATCTTAAGAAATTGATTGTCCAGGTGTGGTGACTGCACTGTAATTCTTGCTACTATGGAGGCTGAGACTGGTAGACTGCTTGAGCTTGAGAATTTTCTGTTACAGTAGGACTAGAGCTGATCTGGTGTCTACACTAAGTCTAGCTCTAATATGATGAAACCTCTGGAGTGATGTACCACCAGGCTGGCTAAGGGGCTAACCAGCCCAGGTTGCAAACAGAACAGGTCAAGCTCCTTTGCTGATCAGCAGTGGAACTGGGCACTGAGGGGCCACTGCATTTTCAGACTGGGCAAGATAGGGAGAACCAGTTTGCCCTACCTGCTTCTCTCCCCCAAAGATGTGGAAGGATAAGAAACTTATTGTTGAGCTTGGATTTTAGAAAGACATGAAAAAAAGATGGAAAGGGCAGGTAATTAAGGATAAATACAAAAAGCATAAATTACAGTCAAGGAAGGTTAAAGCCCAGAACAAAGTCTTGTGATAAATAAATACCAAGAAAAAATTATGTTAGAGGCAAGAGGAAAAAGGAATGAGTGCTCCTTGAGGCAAATGGGAAGATAACTGACCATAAAGAGACGACACAATTACTCACCTTCCATTTTACTCCAGTTTTCTCAATCGTGCAGAATGTTCTTCAGAATGGAAGGCCAGGAAAAAAAATGGTTGGCAGTGGATTGGAAATCAGGATATAAAGAGATAAGAGCATTTCTAGTTGACCTTAGTTAATTTGAGCCACTATGTTTTAACAAATCACATCTCGTAGGAATATGTGTGTGTGGTTAATCTGTAACTGCCAATCATCTTTTAGGAATCATGGAGAATGGATGAGGTGCTATGAGAATGGAGATGGGAAAATTGGCCAATTTTCAAAAGAGAGAAGATTCTTCAAACTATGAGCTTAACATTTATTTCCAGTAGAATTCTAGAATGGATCATCAAAGAGATAGCTCATGGGGTCTCTGAAAGCAAGGTGGATTAATTATGGGCAAAACATGCTGGACTAACAATTTCTTTTTCCTATTTTTTTGGAAAGGGTCATGAGATTGATAAAGGAAATGCCATAACCATTATAACCTGTAACTCAACAAGGTATGTACCAATGTCTTTCACAGTAGTCTTGTGATCAAGATGGAGAGCACTGAACAGTAACAAAATCAGATGAATTTAGAAGTGGATGAATGACAGGGCTCAAAGAGTCAACCTCTATGTGACTTCGATAAATCACTTTAACATCTCTGGGTCTCAAATGTAAAATAAAGGGGTTGGGTTAGATTAATTCTAAGGTTCTTTCCAGACCTAACCAATGACCCTGAAGGTAGGTCACTAATGGAATGTAACAGGGCTCTGTCCTTCATCAAATTGTATTCAACATTTTAATCAATGTCTTGAATAAAAGTATAGCTAGTAGTTATCATCTTTGTATTTTAAAGCTGAGAGGACAGATAATTCACCAAGTAACAGAATCCTCATCCACAAGATTTCTATAGGTTGGGAAAATACAGCACATGTAACAAAATTAAACTGACTAAAGTTCTACACAGATTAAAAAAATTAAGTGCACAAGTACAGGATATGGGAGACAGTACAAAGATCATGTGAAAAAACAAAAAGAGCTTGTAGTGAATTGCATGCTCAAATATGTGTCAACAGTGTGACAAGGCATATAGAAAAACTAGATTTTAGATTACAACCCAGAACATAATCTCCCTAGCTAAGTCACTCTGTGTTGTGTTCAGGTCTGGGCACCACATTTAGGAAGGGCATTGATAAGCTAGAGCACAAACAGAAGAAAGGCAGCTAGGATGGTGAGGATACCATATGAGGATCTATTCAACTAACTAGAGATGGTGATCTTGGAAAAGTGAAGACTTGTTAAGGGACATAATGGTTTTCTTCAAGAATTTGAAGGGTTGGTGTTTGGAGGAAAGATTAAATGTATTCTGCTTGGCCCCAGGGAACAGAATTAGGACCAATGTGTGAGTTAGAAATATTTTAGTTCAACAAAAGGCAAAACCTCCAAACTTCCTTGGAGAAGTTCACAGCCTCTGGAGATCTTCAAGTAAAAGGTAACTGAACATTTGATATTTTTTTAGGGATTGCTGTTTTAGATAAAGGACTAGAATAGTTGACCTGTGAAGTTTCTAATGTATCCATTATATCTCTTCACCCTCAGTCTGAAAGATGATGCCTCATGAATGAACACTGAATACATACTAATTTTATTAACAGAGCTCCCATTTAAGTAGTTTTGACTGCAAACCCATTTACTACTCTTTCTACTATTCCACATTGCTTCTCAATCAATAAAGTGGTAAAATATACAAGGGTAGATAAAACGATAAACATCTTCAAAAGGTCTGGAAAAATGTGTAAGGAGTTAACACCATCCTGTCCTATATGAAAAGCTGTAAATTTGATAAATACTTGATTTAGTTAGGAGTATCCTTAGACATTGCTAACAAATCTTTAAAGTGCTCAAAATGAGGTGAGACAAAAAAGAAGCAAAAATGCTTATGGAGGCTAAAACCATAAACAGGTTACACACACAAAGTTGTGCCAAAATGCTTAATAGGTTTAGGTGAATTGATCATTAGGCAAACTGGCATTAGGCTAATTAGTTTTAGGCAAAATGGCTTCAGGTACATTGATCTGATAGGCTGAGGTAAGACTTGGGAGGGAACATACGGTAACATAGAAGAGAATATGGTTTTAGGCAAATTCATTATTAGGCTACTTGGCTTTAGGCAAATTGATCAGCTTTCCTAACCACTCAGTTGTTGATGAGTGGGAACAGAAGACAGAATCTCAGGAGGAAAAAAAGAAAACAGCCTAAATATCTCCTATTACTGAACTAAATCATAGGACACTGTTTTTCTACCTTTCTAGTACTTCAAATGCCTCATGGAATGAAAGAAGAGATCCTAGCGCTAAGGAGAGGGAGGAAGACACTGAATTTCCTTTCTGAATGTCTTTTTCTGGCAGCTGAGAGAAGCTCTTGGCCTACAACAATAAATGAGGCTCACAAAGGCGCAGAACTGGGAAGGTCATCTGATACAAAGTTAAGTAACTGTGACATGCATTGTCACTACTACTAATACCTTCAAATACAAACTGCCAAAGCAGTTAAATGAACTTCATCTAATACAACAGAATAACACACACAAACAAAAAATTAAACAGAATAAACTGCTGTCATCATGATGTTATTGAAAAGTGTCACATCTTTCTCCCTGTGGCCATGTACAAGGATAAAAGATAAAGAACTACCAAAGGAGGAAAGCTACCTAACTGAAGCCTAGAAATTGGTTAACAAATGTCCTCTAAAATACTGTGTTTAGTTAGATATAGTGTTTCTCTAAAGTCACCTAATTTACCTTAGTTAATCAAGACTTTTCAAAATATAAAACAATGTTGAAATTCATGCGGAAAAAATGTGAGAAACTTTCATGAATATGAAGCCTGTAGTTCAAATTCATCTGTCAGCCAGCACCATACAATCACTGAGTGGGAGAAAACATCAATCACACATGACACATGTAGTGTTTGAGGAGGTAAAAATACCCTCTTACAAGAGCCAAGATTACCAGGACATGAAACTCTAAGTTCAGTTTATGTGGCAGACACCATCCAGTTGCAGCATACTTAAATCACATAGGCAGTATTTTGAGAAGCAAAAGGACCTCTATAAGAGCTTAATTTGCAAAGTGAACATTATTACTAAAAGTACATCACAGAGTTTTCTTCTCCAGAAAACTTTTCTAATGGTGAATAAGACTGAAGTGCTGGATAAAGACTTGATCACAATCATTATTATTATAAAAGTTTTGTGGTTCTTTTACAACCATGCGGTGTGTCGCCAATGTGACATTTTTGATGCCAAGTAATGGAAGAATGCATACCGAAGGCTCTCCCCCAAAGGTGTCTTCCTTCACAAGGTATCTCCAGAGTGAATCCTCTGGTGTCTAATGAGGTAAGACTTCAAAATGAAAGTTTTCTCACATTTTATGCATTCATAAGGTTTCTCTCCAGAGTGGATTCTCTGATGCTGAATAAGGTTTGAAGATGCACTAAAAGTTTTTCCACACTGATTACACTCATAAGGTTTTTCTCCAGTGTGAATTCTCTGGTGTGTGATGAGGCTTGAGCTCTGGCTGAAAGCTTTCCCACATTCATTACATACATAAGGTTTTTCTCCAGTGTGAATTCTCTGGTGGTGAATAAGGGACGTCCGGTCACTACAGGCTTTCCCACATTCATTACACTGATATGGTTTCTCTCCAGTGTGAATTCTCTGGTGTCTAAAAAGGCAAGATTTTAGAATGAAGGCCTTTCCACATTCATTACACTCATAGGGCTTTTCCCCTGTATGAATTTTCTGATGTTTAATAAGGATTGAACTCTGGCTGAAGCATTTTCCACATTCATTACACAGATAAGGTTTCTCTCCAGTGTGAATTCTCTGATGATGAATAAGGGATGTTCGATCACTACAGGCTTTTCCACATTCATTACACTGGTAGGGTTTCTCACCAGTGTGAAATCGCTTATGCTGGATAAGGTTTCCTTCCTGGCTGAAGGCTTTCCCACATTCAGTACACTCATAGGGTTTCTCGCCAGTGTGAAGTCTTTGATGAAGAATAAAGGCAGTGCTTCGAGTGAAGGCTTTCCCACATTCAGTACACTCAAATGGTTTCTCACCTGTGTGAAGTCTCTGATGTCGAATAAGGTTTCCCTTCAAACTGAAGGCACTTCCACATTCATTACACTCAAATGGTCTCTCTCCAGTGTGAAGTCTCTGGTGTCGAATAAGGTTTCCTTTCAAGCTAAAGGCTTTCCCACATTCTGTACACTGATAAGGTTTCTCTAAAGTGGGGATTTTATGGTTTTGAATAAGGGATAACTGTGTGTTAAAGGTATTTCCACATTCATTAAATTCATAAGGTTTTTCCCCATTAAGCACTTTCTCCTTCTTGATAAGGATTGATGACTGGTTGAAAGTTTCTTCATTGGCATCACACTCACCAGGTTCCTCTCTGGTATGAATTCTCTGAAGTTCAATGAGGTTTGAATTCTGAGTAAACGCTTTCCAATATACTTTAGCTTTAGAGGGCTTTTCTTCTGTTTGTTCTTTCTGATATGTAATTAATTCTGAATTTTGTTCAAATATTTGGCCCATTTCATCACATTGCTGGGGTCTCCATTCTGAAGAAACTTTTTGATACCTTACAGGGGTCATGCTCAAACTGAGATTTTTCCCAAATTCACTCCATTCCTGACCTCTTTCCAATATGAGAGGTTTTTGATGGACCACTGGCACTGGCCTGAAGCCTCTCTTCTGGGAAAGGCATGTCCTTAGGTTCCTCCCTGCAGGAGATCTCCACACATCCTTTAACCTGTCCTCATTTTCAACAGCTTCTCCAAATGTGGGTGCTTGAGGCAAAAGTCCTCTGAGTCTGTGCAATATCAGACTTTGGCACTTCAGCTCATCAGAAATTTCTTGTTTTGGAGACAAATCCTCACTCTCAGTCTGGGTTTCACAATCTGAAACAGTGAAAACAAAACATAAACATTATCTGCTTTATTCTGAGACTAAGGACATTTTGGGGGCATAGATAAGACAATTACATAACAATCTTCTAGAGGGACATGCTACTGACAAATCTCAAGCTAGCTTCACAGAATGGAGAGGTATAATTAGAGATGTATAAATAAGACCATCCAGGGGCTGGTTTATCCTAGATATTTTGTGAACAAGATACTCTCATCACAGTGTTTTAACATAAATACACCTACCTGACACTCAACAAATGCATATTAATTGAACTGAACTGAAGATTTACTAAAGACATGAAGCTAAAAGAGTAAAGAAAAACAAACTTCAGACAGGGACAGGTCTAGAACTATAGTCAAGACCATATGATAGCTAGAGAGGTATATGTATATCTGTGCTAAGAGTAACTCATTTGGGAATGTCCAAAAGGCAACTGAGGAATTAGGCTTCCATAGTTTGAGAGGCTGACAATGACCATGGAATTTTCCCATGCTCCCCCTGACCTTGCTTCTATCAGTCATCCTCATCCTCTACTCACAGGAACAAATCACAGAAATCTGCCTGGTAATAGGATACATCAATCTAGAACAAGCAGAGCTTAGGAGGCCATGAGGGGAGAGTAGAAGAAATGACATCAAATTTAAATTTGCCTCCTTGTAATTTCTACCCATTGCTCCTGCTTCTTCCTTCTGGGGTCAAACAGAACCAGTCTAATCTCTTCTCTACTCAAAAGCCCTTTAGATACTTGAAGATAGCTATCATGTCCCCCTTAAGTCTTCTCTTTTCTAGGCTAAACATCCCCAGTTACTTCAGCTGATCTACATATTCGGTGGACTCATGGCCTCTCCGATCATCATTGTCTTAGTTCTCACAATCTGTAACTTTCACCCCACCTAAGCTACCTACAGGGGGCAGTCACATCTCAGACCTCAAAATCTCCCCAAATTGTGTCATTTCCATGACCCTGAACTCTGAAACTTTCCTCTCTTTATCATAATCTTCATCATTCCATCCCCTCTTGTCTCATTCTTCTAAAACCTGTTCTTTGTTTTCATTGTGACTTGAGGTCCCTCTAGCTCTTTCTGTTCTACCAGTCCATCACCCCTACTCAGGCCTTATTTCTTTCATTCTCAGTCTTCACCCCGTAAGTTAATTAGTTCCACTATGTATTCTCATCTAAGTTTAATATTCTTGTCTTGCCCTTCACATCATGCTAATCCTCAACTCTGAGCCACTTCCAACAGCTGCTTTTTCTGCTTTTACTCTTGAGCTGTTGCATGCTGCTGAATGATGTCATGAAAACATGCTGACTGGGTCCCACCACAGACTGATGTTATTTAATCTCAACTGCTCTTCTCTGATACATGGCAATCTTTATATTTTTCCTTGATCGAATCTCTATTATGTTACCCAAAGCAGGTGTTTGAAACCTTTTCCTTTCTTAAGTCTACAGTACTACCTCCTGAACCTCCTCCTCTCAACAGATGACTCTGCATACTACTTTACTGATAAAAATGAAGGCCATTCACAGTATGAGATCCCTTCTTTTCCCTTACTCCATCTTTACCTCACCTCCAATGCACAATATCTAAGGAAGAAGTGGAATGTTTCCTTATATTGGCTAACTTCCTCCAACTTATATCCTTGATCCCAATTACTCCTGTCTTCTTCAGGAGCTTGCCCCATCAATCACTCCCTTACTTTCATCTTCAATTTCTCCCTCACTCCTTTGCCCACAAATATAATGAGCTCTCCCATTCTTATTAAAAACAAAAAGAAATTCTTCACATACCATCGCTCTCAAGTTAATCATCTTATGTTTTATAACCCTTTCACTGCCAAATATATAATGTTGTCTATACTCACTGCCTCCACTTTCACTGTCTGTTTGTTTCTTAAGCCCTTTCAATATGGCCACTGACCATACCACTAAAATTACTCTTTAAAAGTTACCAATGATTCTTTGTTCTTTAAAATATTGATGATTTTTGTTCTTATATCACAACCCTGCAAGACTTCTCTTGTAACAAAGATTAAAAAAAGGGGGGGAAGAACAACTTAATAAAACCAACCAATATGTCAACTTTAATTAAAGTTATATGCAATATTCTACTGCCTCTGCAATGAAGGGAGAGAGGTGCATTTATTACTCTTTTCTGGGGTTAAATTTAATTAATCAATGGTGTTAACTTCTCAGATCATAGAATTTGCAGGTTTGAAAGGACCTTAGAAACCATCTAGTCCAGACCATCCCCAAACAAGAATTCCTTCTACAACATTCCCAACAAATTATCATCCAAACCTCTGCTTGAAAACCTCCTGTGAGGATCAACCACATACCTTCTGGGGTAGCCCATTACACTTTTAGATAGCTCTACTCATTAGAAAGATTTCTCACACCAAGCCTCAGTGTGTCTCTTTACAACTTCCATACATTATTCCTAGTACTGTTCTCTGGGATTAAACAAAACAAGTCTAATTTCTTCTATATAACCCCTTCAAATACTTGAAGACTATCACCTCTCCACTAAGTCTTCTCTCTCTCTCTTTTTTTTTTTGCTAGGCAATGGGGTTAAGTGACTTGCCCAAGGTCACACAGCTAGTAAATGTTATGTGTCTGAGGCCGGATTTGAACTCAGGTCCTCCTGAATCCAGGGTTGGTGCTCTATCCACTGTGCCACCTAGCTGCCCCCAAGTCTTCTCTTTTCCAAGAAAAATATCTCCTAGTTCCTTCAACTGATCCTCAAAGGGCATATCTCTAGTCTTCTCTTCATTCTAGTCACTCTTTTCAAAGAGGACATACTCCAGTTTGTCTGTGTCCTTCCTAAAATGTGGTGTCTACGACTGAACACAATATTACAGAAGTAGTCTGACTACTGTAGAGAGTATGGCAGGACTATTTATGTCCCTTATCTACTGCCTATGGTTTCTGAAACTGTTGACAAATCATCCCCTTTCCTTCTGTATACCATTTCCTCCCTCAGTTTCTGTGATACCATTCTCTCTTGTATTTCCTAATACTTTCTCAGCATCTTTGTTGGATCTTCATTAATTTCTTTAAAATGAATATCAAAGGATTAATTTGTTCTCGTTTGTTCTCTCTCTGTCTTTCTTTCTCTCTCTCTCTCCCCACCTCCTTCTTTCCCCTCTTACATTCCTAATAGGTTCAATTATCTCTATGCAGATGACTCTTAACTCTACATACAGTTTTAATACTTCAGGCCTACATCACCAATTGTGCAAGTTCTTTTCTTGTAGCTGCTAGCCACAGCCACATAGGCTCAAAGAACTTAGACAAATCCATGACCCTAGAAGGTCATGAGGAGAAGAGGGTCATGGAATAAGTCAATGATTCTGTCAAACTTTTTCTGCCTGGGATGACATAGCAAGTAAAGGGATCCCCAAAAGTATGAGATTATCTTAGAAGTGTAAATGAGCAGGGATTAGATGACAGTCCTGTTGTAGATTTTACACACACAAAGCATGCTTTCTATTGTGCAGGAATTTATGGACTACATCTTTTTGCCAAGGCAATCTGCCATTTTATGTTCTGTATATCCAATAACTATGTACAGTATGTTGTTGAGCATATAGAAGACATGCAGTAAATATGTGTTCAGTGACTGAATGAAGGAAAGGTTCTCACTCACCTAAGCAGTCACCTCTTAGAACTTTTTTCTCTTCAGCTCCTTGTGTGTCCAGGACCCATGGCTCTTCCCCTCGTTCCAGTTGAGATATCACATCAGGTTTAGTTACTTGAAATCCTGCTCATGGAGAAGGAAACTGGACCTGGTGGATTGTCCCGCATACACAGACCTTTCCCAAATTCATTCTCAGCCTCTGGGTATACAGAGGCTAGCTAAGATGTCAAAGGCAGTGTATGTAGAGATTATGACAAAGACCTGAGCACCCTCTGGAAGTATCTTAAGAATCTGTCCCTCTGAGAGTTCATGGGGCATAAGTATATTGCTGATGTGAGCACAAAAGAACAATTAACTTATGTGTCCTGTACACACTAGCTGGGCAGGAAATTTACACCTCTGGGATGTCCACATTAGACTCTGGTAAGCGTCCTGGGCCAAGGGCAGGGTAGAATTTCTTACAAGAAGTTTAGAGAAGGGAGAAGGTGCAGATTAAGGAAAAGCTCAAGGAAACTACCCACTTCTACTGTATCCATCAGGCATGTTTCTTGGTACGAGGAACAAAAGTAATACATCTCTCAGCCTGGACTAGAAACTCAAATGAATTCTCTAGACTGTTAAATATTTAATGGGGTATATTTTGTTTCAAAACAGATAATACTAAGTTTACTATAATTAAGGGTTTTCATTTGAAAATTTTTGGCAATCATTTATAAAAATTATTAAATGTATAGGGTGGTTTAAAGATATAACTTCAATATTTTAATATGAGGCAACTATCAGGTATTTTCTGTATGTCTGAAACTCCAGAATGTGGTTAGTTTTAATTTATAAGTAAAGGATAAATGAAATGTAACTATTAGGGAAACATGAGAAATTAATAGTATTTAAGCCCTAAGATGTGGTTAGTGAAATTTTTCTATTTGAGACAAAAACTCTTGGGACTATAGTTTACTATTGTTTTGAGTTTTGACTACAGGGATGGTTGTCTGAACTGTCATGAAGCCAATAGCAGAAAATGGCATAAGCTGCAATTTAGCTGTCTGTCCCTGGGAAAAGTTGAGGGCATGACCTTGGTATGGCCTAAGGTAGGATCCTATTGACTTAGCTGTCCCATTGTACTATTTCCTTTCTGAACAGGAAATTTCTTCATCTGATTAATCCTGATCCTGACCTTTGATATGCTGTGACTGCATGAATGGCTGTCAGATATGACTGATGCCTGGAATCAAACAGAGCTAAGCAAATTCCACCCCCCACTCCTCCTTTTATGGTATATGTCAGGTTAATCTGTGCTCTTGAAGGGACCAATCCTGACACTGTTCTAACTATATCCCTCCTTTTCCTTTCATAGCAAATTTCTATAATCTGGGCAAGTGAGCAGTAGAAGTTTTGTAATTACAATATTAAATCTACTAATTAATAGATTGATGCTGGAACATCTCTGAATTGTGAAGTATGAAAGTATGAAAAATCTTATAATTTTAATCTGTATTTGTGGTCAAATTGTAATATAGGGATGACATCTTCTTAAAGGGGGAAATTAGACAAAAGTAATAAGACAAAGATGTAATGGAAAAGTTTCCTATTAATTGGAATAGTAAATTTTGAGAAAGTAACAAGATTAGACTGTTTTCTTTAAGAACTATATACATATGTATATGACTGGCTTCCAAATGTTTCTAGTATGGAAATTTAGATTTTGAGTACGTTTTAGTAATAAGGTCTCAAAATTAGAGTAAGAATTTTACATATAAAATTGTATTTGTAATTGTAAAGAAAGTGAAATTATTTCATTTTAAAGTATCTGATAATTTAAAAAGACAGAAGAATTAATTTTACAGTTAGAACCTCATAAATTTTTTTTTCAAGCTATTTTGATTTGTAGAAAAGCGAAATCTGAGTCCTAGGAAAGCCTTACCCAGTGAAACAATGTTGCCATAATTCTCCAGCATCACATCCCTGTAGAGACTCCTCTGATCAGGGCCCAAAAGATGCCACTCCTCCTGGGTGAGATTCACGGCTACATCCACGAATGTCACAAGGGCCTGAAATAAGAGATTCCTGCTGCAGCCCAAGACAGGCTTCCAAGGTTTAGCACTAATAAGAGGAGAAGAACCTTAAGCAAGAGGAACATCTGATGGCATGTAGGTTCAGTAGCAGTGTGTATGTGATTATGAAAGTATGATGAGAAAGGACTATTGAAACAGTACAGGCAGTGGCAAAGAATTGGAAATTGAGGGGATGCCCATCAACTGGGAAACAGCTGAACAAGTTGTGGTATATGATTGTGTTGCAATACTATTGTACTATGAGAAATGACGAGTAGGATGCTCTCAGAAAAACCTGAGGGCCAGTTAGGTGGCGCAGTGGATAGAGCACCAGCCCTGAAGTCAGGAGGGCCTGAGTTCAAATCCGGCCTCAGACCAAACACTTGACACTGACTAGCTGTGTGACTCTGGGCAAGTCACTTAACCCCAATTACCTAAAAATTAAAAAAAAAAAAAAGAAAAACCTGGAAAGACTTACATGAACTAATGCAAAGTGAATCAAGCAGAACCAGGAGAACATTGTACATAGCAATGGCAATATTGTACAGTGATCAACTGTGAATGATTTGATTTTCTTAGCAATACAATGATCCAACATAATTCTGAGGAATTATGAGGAAAAGAACTTTTTTTAACTTTGTTTTTCTTGTGCTTTTTTTTGGTTTGTTTTTTCTTTCACAACATGGCTAATATAGAAATATGTTTTGCATGACTACACATGTATAACCTATATTAAATTACTTGCTTTCTCAAGAAAGAAGGAAGGGGAGGAAGAAAGGAGGGAGAGAATTTGGAACTCAATTTAAAAACTGATGTTAATGACTGATGTGGAAATATGTTTAACGATTGTATATAACCTATATCAGACTGCTTGCCATCTTGAGGGGGGAGGAAGGAAAATTTGGAACTCAAAATCTTATAAAAAATGAATGTTAAAAAGTATCTTTATGTGTAATTGGGAAAAAATAAAATACTATTAAAAAACCAATGTTAAAAATTGTCTTTACATGTTATTGGAAAAAAGTATTAAAAAAAGTAGTACAAGCAGGCAGTGATAAGGTATGTGTATGTGCTTCTGCATGTGTGCTGATTATATGCAATGGTACACACATGTATAGTTGAATAAGTGTCTACATACATGTTACTTATGGAAAGAAGGGTGATATAATATGAATAAATATTTGCTTGAATGTATATTAATCATAGGGAAGTATATGTGAAACCCTGACTAAAAGTGGTGTTTGCATGTATGTTAATTATAGGGACAGGGGAACTCCCTTGCTCAGATGAGGTCTGAGATGCAGCAGTGATGGGTTGCTGGAGGGAGAGAGCTTACCTTTGGCTCAGCTGGTATGAACTTGGATGCCATCATCTGACCTCAGCTCTCCTCTAGGTGTTCAGCAGGAACTATTACTGAAGGGAAAAGAGGAGAGAGGTAGAGAGGAGTTCTGTTTTACAATTCGCCAGTCCTCCCCTCAAGAGTTTACAGGGTGACTTATTGACTTGACGGTTGTCAGTTTTAACTATGCATTCTAATTATGATAGACTATGCACCAATTCTGAGTCTGACATACCACACATGCCTACTGTGGGTCTGCCTAATTGTAAACACCCTGAATTGTGTCTTAAGATACAGAGTTAGGGGGAATACAAGGAATGTCTGGAGGAAAATAAGTATACTAGTGTGGTGAGAGTGAGAAGGTCAAGTGCATTTTGGACCTCTTCTACATGGGAGGCCCTTTAATAAGTACTGATTTGATCTCCTACATTTATCTCATCTCATCTCATCCCTCTGCCACCACCCTAGTACAGGCCTTCATTATCAGTTGCCCCTAGACTATTACAATGACTTACTAACAGATCCTTTCAGGTCCAATCAATCCTTTGTAATACTGCTAGAATAATCTTACTTATGTATAGACTTGGACATATCACTCCTCTGCTCAAAAATCTTTAGTGGCTCCCTACTGCTTGCCAAATAAAGTTCAAATTCCTTTGCAAGGCAGTCAAGGCTCTACATAATTTGATGCCACTCTATCTTTCCAGCCTTCTTATATTACACTGTTTCACATATCTTATGGTCTAGTCAAACTGGAGTGCTCTCTGTCTACCTTGAATATGCATTCTTTCTCCAGGCTGGGGTCCTGAATATCCTGCCCTTCACATATGATAAAGTTAAGTTGGCCATGGAATGTCATGTGAAGGACAGCACAACCCTCCCCTTCCCAACATCTCTACTACTGTTCAGAGCACCACCACCCAATGCCCCAGGCTCACAACCCAAGTGTCATGCCCAACTCCTGACTACGTTTCACTCCTGCTCCCCACATGCAAGCAGCTGTCAAGGCCTGTCAATTTCACCTTTGCAGCATCTTTCAAATATGCTTCCTTCTCTCTTCTGACACGGCCACCCCTCTAGTACAGGCCCTCATCACCTCATACTTGGACCATTGCAATAGCTTGCTGGGCAGCGAGGTGGCATAGTAGATAGAATACTGCACTTGGAGACAAGAATTCTCTCCTTGAGTTCAAATCTAGCTTCAAGACACTTACTAGCTGTGTGACCCTGGGCAAGTCACTTAACCCTGTTTGCCTCAGTTTCCTCATCTGTGGAAAGGAAAATGGCAAACCACTGCAGTACCTTTGCCAAGAAAACTCCAAATGGGGTCACAGAGAGTCAGACACAACTGAAAAACAACTGAACACAACAGTCTGCTGGTGGGTTGGCCTGCCTCAAGTCTCTTTCCTTTCCAATCCCTCCTCCATTCAGCTACTAAAGTGATTTTCATAAAGTATAGGTTTGACTTGGACTCAATAAATTCCAGTGGCTCCCTTTCACTTACAAGATCCTCTACATAAAATCTTTTGTCTAGAGTTCAGAGCCCTTTGTAATTTAGGCTCCAAATCCATCTTGCCCTTTCCAGTCTTCTCACACCCTATATAACTCCTCTCCATCCATACTCTTCAATCCAGTGACACTGGCTTCCTTGCCGTTCCTCAACAAGACTCCAGACTCCAGGACACAGGCCAATTCTCATGCCTAGAATGCTCTCCCTCCTCACCTTTACCTCCTGGCTTCCTTCAAGCCCTAACTAAAATACCTATAGCACACTTTCTCTCTCATTAGATTGCAAACTCTTAAAGGGAAGGGAATATCTTTTGCCTTTCTTTGTATCCCAGCATTTAGCACAGTGCCTGGCATATATAAATACTTACTGACTGACTGGCTGAATTGTAGAATTTGTGGAAAGGAATAAGGTGTTGGGTAGAAAGGGGCCAGGTTGCAAAGGTCTTTAAATGCTAGATGATTTTATATTTGATCCTGGAAGTAAAAGGGAGTCACTGGAGTTTATTAAATGGAAGTAGGGGTGGCTTGTGTGTGTGACCTGTTCAGACCTGAGCATCAGGAAAACTACTTTGGCAGCTGAGCGAAAAACAGACTAGATTGGGAAGAGACCAACCAGAAAGCATTTGCCATAGTCCAAGTGAGAGGTGAAGAGATTCCAAACTAGAGCAGTGGCTATATGAATGAAGAGGATAAATGTGTGAGAAATGATACAAAGGTAAAGATGACAAAATTTGGCACATACAGACTGGATATATAGGGTAAGTATAAGTGAGAAGTTGAAGATAACACCAAGGTAGTGAGTCTGGATGACTGGAAGGATGGTAATACCATCAACAGTAATAAGAAAGTTGGTAAGAGGGCAAGTTTTGGGGAAAAGATACTATGCTCTGTTTTGGACACGCTCAGCATGAGATGCCTATAGGACATCTGAGATGTTCAAAAGATAGATGGTAGCAGATAGGAACTCAGGAGAGAGATTAGGGTTGGAATTAGGAATCATTTTTATAAATATAGTAATTGAACCTACAATAGCTGATAAAACCATTAAGCATGAATAGTATAAAGAAAAAAGACAAGACCCAGGATAGAGTTCTGAGGGACAAAATTAGTGGGCATAAAATGGATACAGAGTTATCAAAAAGACTCAAAGAGAGTGAGTGGTCATGAGGCTATTTAACATTATAGCCATTCAGCATTAAAGATCTGTGTCTGTGTACTACTTTGGATGCATCCCACAAATTTTGAAATGTAGTATCTGTGTTATCATTTGTTAATGATTTGAGGTAACTCACTACTGTTTCTTTAATTACCTATTTGATTATTTAATACTATTCAGCTTTCATGTGGGTCTATACCTTTTTATGAATTTTTTTTATTTGCTTTTTGGTAAGGCAATCAGGGTTAAGTGACTTGCCCAGGGTCACACAGCTAGTAAGTGTCAAATGTCTGAGGCCAGATTTGAACTCAAGTCCTCCTGACTCCAAGACCAGAGCTCTATCCACTGTGCCACCTAGGGTCTTTACCTTTTTATTTTTATTTCCTACTAACCTATCTAAATCTGTTATTTTTCTCTAATTACCTGTTTTCCCATGTGGACCAGCAAACAATCAATTTCTGGGTGATTTACACGGACATTAGAAAAGACAGTTGTTTTTTCCTTTTGAGTTTTTTTCAATTAGAGATATCCTGAGGCAGTGAATAATCTACTGGACATGGAGTTCAAGACTGGGTTCAACTTCTGCTACCGATATAAACTAGCTGCGTGACCTTAGGGTCAGGGTAGATACGTTACAAATCAGAAGTTCTCACCTGGGAAATACAATCTAAAGAGGAAATCACAGATCCATTGATTCACTTATATCATACTATTAATTAATATTAAGTTTGCAGTAACCTAAAGTCTACAGATCTTTTCCAGTCAAATTATTGTCTAGTCACACCTACCTGATCTTATATTTATGAAGGAAGTTTCTGAATCCAAGTATAAGACTTTATGTTTACCTTGATTAAAGTCCATCTAAGAACCAGGCCTACTTTCTAGCATTTCCAGCTCTTTTTGGATCCTGTCATCCAATATGTTAATTAAATCTCCAAGTTTTGTAAAATTTTGCAAATCTGAGAAGTAGTGCCATTTATGCTTTTATTCAAGTCACTGAGGAAAAACGTTAAATATTAGGGGCCAAGCTCAGAACTTGGGACTCTCCACTGAGAGCTCTTTCCCAGATGATACTGAATAACTGTTAATAATTACCTTTGGGATTTAGTTATAGGTCTAAATCCATCTATTATTGTCCAGTGAAATTTCTCTATCTTTCCCACAAAACAGTCCCAAACTTTTTGTCAAAAAAATTATAGTAAACTATATCTTCCCTCTTGCATACTTCCCCATTACTGCCCAGGGAACTGCCATCCTCCAAGTCACCCAGTCTCTCAACCTAGGTGTCCTCCTTGACTCCCCACTCTCTCGCCACTGACATACAATCTGTTGCCAAGAACTGTCAATTTTACCTTTGCAGCATCTCTCAAATAAACCTTCTTTTCCCCTATGACACTGGCACCACCTTACTACAAGCCCTCATCATCTCATGCCTAGACTACTGTGATAACCTACTGGCTGATCTGCCTGCCCCAAGTCTCTCCTCATTCCAGTCCATCCTTCATTTGGCTGTCAAAGTGGTCTTCCTAAAGAGCAGGTATGATCATAAGACTATTCAACAAACTTCAGAGGCTCCTTATTACTTCCAGGATCAAATATAAAACCATCTGTTGGTGTTTAAAAGACCTTCAGAACCAGGCCCCTTCCTTTCTAGTTGTCTTATACCTGACTCCCCTCCACAGTGATACTGACCTTCTTGCTGTTTCTCCCACAAGACACGCCATCTCCTAACTCTGTCTTTTCATTGGCTGAAACTTTGTTTAACATGCTGTCCCCTGCTTCACCAAGTTTCAGCTAAGATCTCACTTTCTGCAGTCTTTTCCAGTCTCCTTTAATGCTCACATTTTCTGAGCTTATCTCCAGTTTATCCTGTACACATCTTGTTTGTACACAGTTGTTTGCATGTTGTCTCCTCTTTTAGATTGTGAGTTCCTGAGGACAGAGACTTTTACCCTTCTTTATACCCCCACTGCTGAGCACAGTGCCTAGCACATGGTATGCTTGTTGACTTGATTTGTATCATTGCCCTGATCTACTAGTTTTCTTCTGTGAGAAAATGAAATGAAATTAGCTATTCTTGATGGAGGATGCTTCCTTTACTTGATATTTACTAGCCATCCTTGTTAATAACTCATTCCAGGATTTTGTCAAGAAATTGAAAAGATGCTTATGGGTTTACAGTTTGCAGATTCTATATGTTTCAGCTTTAAAATTAAAAAAAAAATCAGGGCAAAATCTGTCCTTTATTGGTTCAGCACCTCTCCTGTTCTCCACTATCTATCTATCACATCACTGACAGTAGTTCTGTTACCTCATCTACCAATTCTGTTTAGTATTTGGAATATAGTTTGTCTGGTCCTGGTGACCTGAAACTCAAGTGCAAATAACTATTCTCTTCCTACTTATCTTGGATTTCAAATCCCTATTATCCATGCTATTCTGATTTTTTCAGTTTATACAAATCATTCTTCTTGGCAGAGAAAACAGAATTAATCATGAGCTAGTTCTCTCTATCATCAGTTACCTTTCTATCCATTGTGAACAACAGTTCTATTACTTCTGCAATTCTCTTTGCTCCCCTACATAATAGAGCTCAAAACAAAACATAAAACAAAAAAGTGCTTTTGTTGTTCTTAGTATCACATGCTAGCCTTGGCAAATTCTAAGAGTCTGATTTCCTAACTCAATTTTTATAGGATCATGCCAGGTGCTTATATTCATCCTTCATCATCTGGTCTTTTACTTTCTATACATGTCTTTAGAAAATTTAAATTAGTTTGTTATTGTTGTTGTTGTTGTTGTTTTAAGAGAAGGCTCATATGGGGGGAGGGGACATATATATATATATAGATGTGGAAACAGTAGACACCAAAAATAAAAGGAAAGTTAAAAAAATTAACAAAGCAAACCTAAGTTGCTTTAAGTTCCAGCCTACCCACTCTGGTTACGAGGATATTGGTGGAGGTGTAAGTTAACCCCTTACGTCCCATAATCCTGGCATGGTAGTGCAGACCTAGACAGCAGGGGCAACACTAGCTTCCCAGGAACACTGACTGAGGGCCCAGCTATCAGCTCCTGGAGCTCCAGGCAAGAGCTTTGTAGATCCTGAGACCTTGGAGAGTAGCCTTTCTACTTCTAGCCCGGGGCTATTAGCTGTTTTTATCCTCTGGACTGCTTTTGAGCAATTCTGAGAAATGTTTCTCCCACTGGGTATTCAAGTATAATTTTAGTGAAAAAGACTGTTTGTTTAAATGCCATCTCAGAGTGATCCATTGCTTCTGATGCAGAACACTGACTCTGACACAAAATCTTTTTGCATTTTCAGAATTTCCTTCTTGAGAGCTTCCCATGCCTCATGGGATGACTGTCCTAAATCTGCTGTCCCCAAATCTATCCTGCAGGTTAGCCTATTACCAGCTCGCTTTCTTCTTCTCTATTACAAATGGAATGGTTATTTCCTCCCAAAATTTCCATCATTTCTACCCCAATAACCAATTCCTTTTCATTGATAAGAATTGGGTCCAGAAACTAAATTCTTTGCATTGTTTCTTCCACCTTTTGAAGGATGAAATTATCACTTAGGCAAACCTTTAAGGAAGCCAGCTGCTCTGCTTTCCAAAAAGAGAGAACTCTAGCAAATGTTAGGATCATTGAAGCTCCATTACTGTACTGTATCTCTGCACCCCTACCCCCCATCACTACTCAATCCCTTTATGCCAAACTAGCTAGCTCTTTCCTGAGACTTATGAATTTCTTCTTTTTTGTCTTGGTAGTCTATAACATAGGATGGTGTTGCTTTTTCTGTCTCTCTATTGTCACTCGAATGCTCCCTGCCTGTTTCTCTCCTTTAGTTCTTGGATCTTGTTGGTATAAATGTATTTCCGGAATACACAAACTAACTTGGATTCTACCTCCCCTGCCCCTTGGCTTTTATCGATCCTGTTTCTTCTGAATAAAGTATACTCTTTTTCAAACCCATATTCTTGCCATAGGTCTCATCTGACAAATACAAATGAAAATGAAAGGCTAAATTTGCTTCCTTTCATTAGGATATCTAGTTCACCTTATCTGAGGAGGACCTGCAGAGGATCTCCACCTTTTTTGTGTCATAGATGCCTTTGGTAGGTCAGTCTGAAGAAGCCTACCTTTTCGGAATAATGTTTTTAAAATGCATAAAATAAAATACATAGGATTAAAAAGGAAACCAATTATACTGAAATGCAGTGATCAACATAGTGAAAAAACAAGTTCACCTATTTCAAGTTATAAACCCCTGATCTAGAGAAAAACAACCAGGATGGGCCTGATTGAGTCACATAAGGGTCTTGTGGCTGTACCATGTAAGGATTCATTGAAGGAAACTGGTGATGTTTAACCTGGAGAAGAAATGACTAAGAAGCTATCATATGATCCTAAATATTGAAAAGGCTGGATTCGATTTGTTCTGCTTAGCCCCTGAGTGCTGAACTAGGAGTCATGGCTAGGAGTTTCCAAGGGGCTGATTTAGGCTTGATGTCCTAACAAGTAAGAGCTCTCCAAAACGGAACAGGTAACTTCAGGAGTCTCAGTCTCTTCTTCATAAAGTGGAATCACATTACTTGTACTGCCTATCTCCTAAGGCTGTTGTGAGGAAAATCTGACTTTGTAAACCTTAGTGTACCTCAGAAATGAAAGACAGTAGAACTATGGTTATTTGGGTAATGAGGGAGCAGATAGAAGAGATAAAAAACTATGAAAGCTCTAGCCTTAAGCTCTGTTCACTTCCAAGACTAGCAATTAAGTGTTCAGGACAGGCAACTTTTTTGCAGTTATACAGATGAGTCAACATACAGGTCAGACCCATACATTTATTCTGGCAAAGTGTTCCATGAATTGACTTTAAAGTTGTCCAAGGTGGGACTTGAGCCCAGATCTCCCCAACTCTCAGTCCAGCCCTCTTTCTATTAAGCCTCTCACAACACTGATGGGAGAGTTCAATTATCCAGGTTCCTGCAGCAAAGCAGAGAAGTTAATCACTGCAAGCAACTGCAAGCAATGATTGCTTTAGTGATAATTTCATTCTTCAAAAAGTGAAAGAACTAATAAAGGGAAATTCTATTTGGGATCTGATTCTCACCAATGAGCAGGAACTAGATGTTGAGTTGAAAATGATATGAATGTTGGGGCAGCTAGGTGGCACAGAGCACTGGCCCTGGAGTCAGGAGGACCTCAGTTCAAATCCAGCCTCAGACACATGGTAGGATAGGATGTGTGATCCTGGGCAAGTCACTTAACCTTGATTGCCTTGCAAAAAAAAGAAAATAATAGGAATGTTGAGGAAAGTAACTTTTTCTCTTTTAGATGATATGTGAGTGAGGAAGCTGGGAACAGTCTGACATGAAACCTAGAATTTTAGGGAGGATAGAATCCAAAGAATTAAAAAAAAAAGTATGGGTAGGATTCTGTGGACTAAAATTTACCAGGGAAGTAAGCCTAGGAGGGATGGGAAGAGGATTTCAAGAATGAAATATTGAGGATACAAAGACACAAACAATTCTGATCAGAGGAAATGAATCAGCCTTTTAAAAAGATTGATGAGAATGCAAAAGAAACTCATCAACCAACATTTTTAAAAGACATGACCAGAAGATGGGAGTAAAGGCAGAGACAGGAGAAAAGTCAGTTAAGGACAGAATATTGGGGAACATGAAAATTAAGCAGTTGGTAAGAGGAAAGTAAAGAGCATTTATTAAGTCAACTACATAAAGGTTTGCCCTTCTTGTCTGAGCCTACTGGTAACTATGTGTCTTTTTTTAAATGAGTAGATGAGGCTTCCAAAGTATTTTAAAAGGGTATTCCCAAAGAATACCCTTTCTACCTTTTTTGTGCATATTTTCATCTGAGTGTCCCCTATACTCAGCTTGCCTTTGCTCTGGAAATAGGTACTAGCAACTGAGGATCCTTTGCTTTCCTCTCCCCACTCTCACCAGTCCAAAAGACTGAACTGGTATATATCTGGGGTGAACCTTAGGTATTCATATTCACAAAGAATTAAATTCACATTCAGGTGAGACAACAACCAAAATATCAGAGACTACACAGAAATGGTACCTTAAGTCTGAATGCAGAATGAAGCATACTTTTTTTAAAAAAAACTTTATTTTTCTTGGGTTTTTTTGGTCTATGTTTTCTTTCAAAACATGACTAATATAGAGATATATTTTGCATGATTACACATGTATCATCTATATCATATTGCTTGCTTTCTTAATAAGAGGGAAGTGGAAGGAGGGGGAGAATTAGGAAGTCAAAAATTTAAAAAACAAATGTTAAAATTTTTTATATGTAATTGGAAAAAAGAATAAATTACTTGGAAAAAAAATGAAATGGTACCTTAAAAAATGTGACACAGTGGAAGGAAATGGAACAAGATGAGAACCCTTAAGTCAACTGCACAGAAAGGGAAAAAATGTCAAAGGACCCCTGTTCTTCTGCTGAGGCAGGTAAGGAAGGGAAACTCAATCCAGTGAGGAAGTAGCTAAATAGAATCAGATGATTTGTTCTCAGTAGTCACATTCTTAATATCCAACTTCTTGGTGTTGAAAGGATCTAAATAGTTCTAAAACAATACAAAATAGCCTTTTATTTCATTTGAAAAGAGACCTGACAACGAGGTACACAGTACGTTTGTATGCAATGAATGAATGTAAGTTCTCTCTCACTCACCTGAGCAGTCACCTTCTCATGCCCTCTCCCTTCAGAAGCTTCCTTTGTGTCCACATTTCCAGGACCCACAGTTCTTCTCTTCACTATTACTGGGAGCTCACACCAGGTTGGAACATTTAAAATCCTGCTTGTGGGAAAGACAACAGGATCTCTGGTGGTTTGTCCTGGGTATTGAGAGCTTGGTCTAGCCCCTGGGTCTTCGGGGGACAGAGAGGATGAGAAGAGCATCATATTAGGAAGGCTGAGGGAAGTCCTGAGCATCCTTTGTTTGGGGCCTCAGGACTATATTCCTAGTATCCTTCAATAACTTTTCCTCCCTTAAAGTCCATGCAATCCGGACTTTATATTATTATGCTCTTTCCATCCTTGTGACCATCATCGCCACAGAGCTTGTAGCCAAGGTTCTGATTAAAATGGAATTGGGAAATAATTAACAAAATAAAAACAATATGACGTATTAATTTGTGGTTTTCTAAGTCAATATGTGGGCAGCAGGGACCTCTTTCTTTTTTGAATTTGATACCACTGCTCTACAGTTACTCTAGTTACTCTTCCAACTTCCTTATTGACTTTAAACTGGCTTATAGTATTCTTCTTTATTCTAATCTTAGTTTTTATCCCTGAAAACTTCAATATGCATATTAACAACTCCTCTAACACCATAAACACATAATTCCTTTACCTATGGGACTCTAAACTTCTTCTCCACCCTTATGCAGCCATATGCTGGCATAATTATACCCTAGAGAGATACCTCAGAACTGCACCTCTAAGACCTTAGACTTTGAAATTCTATTCTCAAGTCATAACCTCTAATTCTTCCATCTCTTCCTCTCTTACTTCTTTTAAAGTCTTCATCTCATTGTGATCTTTAGTCTCTTTACAATCTCTGTATCTCCTTCACTTCACTTAACTCCAAATCCAGGCTGGACTGCAGCCTCCCACCTCAATGATTCACTAGAATTCTCCACCCTAACCGAACCTTCACAGTTCTGAACCTAATCTCCAACTCTATGTAATTCCCATTATCCGATTTCACTTATTCAACAAGCATTTATGAAAAGCTTCCTATGCTACGGACAGTAGCTACAGACACCGTGATAGATGCAAATTTCTCTGTTCTTGCTCCAAGGGTACCAGAGACTACTGGAGGAAGTCACACAATTCCACTGATTCAGCTACTATACATTTACAGGTCATAATCTCAGCTGCGGTTTCATTGCTCCTCTGTAATCCTCCTATCTGAAATCTTTTCCTCTCTCAAGTACCCAAAACCCAACCTCAGCCCCGAGTCAGACAGATCAACGACCTCCAACTTCACACCAACTGCCCTCTTCTGCTTCTCGGCATCCTTACCCTTTCTTTCTCCTGTCTGGAGATGTCACTATTTCTGACCAGAGCTAATCCATCTACCTGTGCCCATCTCCAGGCAAGGATGCCCTGTTCGTATGCATCTTTACGGACTTCCTCACGGTGTGTTGAAAGGACAGCACTTGGTCAACGATAAAGTCGGGTGGGGGCTCCTATGAGTACAACGTAAAGGCCAGATTCGAGGAATGACACCTGGCATTCAAGGCCCTCCGATGTGGGGCCACCCTCTCTGTCCAGTCACTTTCCTTCACTAGGATAAGAGGAAGAGCGCTCACCTCTAACCTCACGCCCGGAGACTGGGGAAGAGGAGCGGACCCGAGAAGCGGCGGGGCTGGGGCTCAGACTCCGCTCCGACGCCCCGCAAACAAGGCATAAGGAGGGACCGGCCACTAACCGAACTCGTAGGGTCCGGACCCGGAAACCCCTCCCCACCGGTGAAGCCGGACCGCCCGGACCGGAAGTAACGCTTCGACTCCCACCCCCACCGTGAGATCCGCCCAATCCAAGCCCCTGCCTGGCCCAGAGCCGCTCTAGGCCGTGCGGAGGACCAGCGAGCTCTCTCTAGTCGCCCGACGTTTCCTTCCGGCCGTGGGAACAAAAACGGCTCCTTGCCCAGTCCCGCCCCTCCCCCGTCCCCGCCCCCCTCCCGCCCCCACCAGTGACAGGACGCTGAGCCGATCGATCGGCTGAGGGCGAGCCTGCGGCCGCCGAGCTGTCCGTGCCGGGAAAAGAGGTCCCCGCCCCCGGCCAATCACCTCCAGCTTGCAGCTCCGGGCGCCCGCTGCTTGGCGGTTCGTGATCGGGATTCGGAAGGTGAGTTCTCCGGGCCACTGGGTCCCTTCCACCCGCTGCGTCCCCTCCCCCCTCCCCCTCACAGGGTCCCCGCCCCCTCCCCTCCTCCTTCGGGTCCCCGCCCCCTTTCCTCTTCCACCTCCTCCTCCTCCTCCCTCCCCTAGATCCCTGCCCCTCCCCCTACTCCACTGGGTCACTTGTCCCTTTCGCACCCGACCCCGGTCCATGGGGTCCCTTTTCCCTTCTTTGACCTCTCCCGGCCATGGGGCCCCTCCCCCCAGTTCTCTCCTGTAGGGTCTCCTCCTTTCAGTACCCTTTTCGCAACATGAGACAGTCACTGCTAAAGGGGACTAAGCGTAGCGTCCCTGTGACAATCTCAGTCCTAAGGGCCCCCTCCAGTGTATTAAAATATCCCCCTCTCTCCAATGCCCCTTACCCCAACAATATGCTATTGTGGATGGGTCACTGTTTTATTTCTAATAACTGAATGTGGTCAGAAGTCTCTTGTAATACACAGGATCAAGTTTATCTTTCATCACCAATGACGCCAATTACAAATTCCGTTATTAGAACGTCATTAAATTCAAATTCCATTAATAATAAAAGTCGCTGATTGCAAAATGTAGTTAATGGCAGATAGGTTAGTGGGCTGTCAGTCAGATCAAATCAGCGTCTTGAATAATGAAATAAAAGTATGCACTAGAGAATTATGTAACCAAAGGTAAACAGAAATCAGGAAGTTGGCCGTGCTGATCTGGGTAGGACATAAATTGAAGTCCAAATTGAAATGTGTGAAAAATGTCTGGGCTGCTAAAGATATTTCACGCAGCAGATGTTAAGGAAAGCTGCTGGTTTTCCGACATTCTTTCCTGCAAAATCGGGGCTCGTGACGTTTGAATTGCCAGGAGAGCTAGCAGCTTGACGCACTATTGATTCATGGCTAGTTTGTCATGAAGCCCAGGCTTTGAAATAAGATGTTTCCCAGTGCATTTCCCAATCACCAGGGAAAGGTTATGTTGTAAAATGATGTCAACATTGGAAACTTACAACATTTGGAATGAAGCAGGCTCCTTCTTTTTTGTTTTTCAATCCATCACCACTCTTTGATCCTTTGAAAAGAGCTGAGAGAACTGGCATAATGATGATGCAGTTGCAGATGCTTCGGTATCTGATGAGTGACGATGGTATTAGAAGCTTTCCGGCAGCATTCTTCCCTTGTCTGGATAACCAGTCAGTAAAAACCAAATAAATTGCATTTTCCTCTATTTGTATTAGGGAAACAGGTTTGCTTTGGAATGCATGGAAGAACCCCTAAAAGTATATCCTAGAAGTAAGAACTAAATTTTGCATTTTTAGTTTTCATTCCTTATGAAAATTATGATATTGTGGCTTATTAATATTGCATGGCTTGTTTGCTAAGTTATGAATATGTAATATCTGTGTTGTAGTTTTGGCTTAAAAGAACTAATTTAAAGGTATAGGTTGCTATTTCTGTATTAATGCCAGCTTTCAATATTTGTTCATAATCAAAATACCAGAGTCAAAGAGCTTTCCTTTTTGTTGTTGTTGCAATTTTAAGGCATATTATGAGTTTGCAACAGATTGTTGTAATGAAATATAATACAGTGAATAGCAGGGAATAATTATTGTTAGGTATCATTCTTAAGACAAAATTGTAATAGCTTTTAAATTGTTAGTATAGATTTTTATTTTGTCGTATGTATTCATAACATCTTGACATAGTTATTTTAAATAATGCCACAATGGAAGAGAGAATTTACTTAATTTGAAAAAAAAATCCCATTCCTTTGCTTTTCACAGTTTCTTTCTGGACAAAAAAAATAAAATTATTAAATAATCACAACTGTATTAAAATATTTGATGTGATTTTTGGTCAATCTCTTTATATGTAAAACACACATATGTAAATATATATGTAATAAAATATGTAAATAGTTTTTAGTCAAAATAGTGAAGCCCTCCCCAAATATTACTGAAAATTTTCTTTAGAAACATGTTGAAATAATATTAAAAACAAATAATATTTAATACTTAATATTTAAATTTTAATTTTTCTTGAACATGTGAATGTTTTTGGCCAGTAGTGCATATTTAGAAATAAAGATTTTGCTGGGCTTTTTTGTTGTTTGTTGTTTGTTTTTGGTTCAGATATTTTTAGCCCTCTGCTTTTTTAAAGTTAAAAATCTGCTGGTCCCTGGCCCCCCCCCCCCCGATATTCTATTAAAGCTTAAGGGTAGATTTTAAAATACAGAAACTTTGAATGAGCAGAAAAATATATGATACAATGTAACTAGAGGAGCAAAATTATTGCTGGTTTTCAAATAATATAGTGAAAGAATGTTTTAAAACCTACAGTAAGCGATATATAATATCCCAAGCAGAATTGAATGCAAGAAAAATGTAACATTTGCAACCTTGATGACTGTTAACCAGGTGTGTATTTCTACTTAGCTAGTAGATATATTGACTTTGACTGGTTTTACACAATAAGATTGTTGATGTTTTTATGCACTAAGTACTTCTTTTCTGAATTAATTTTTTCAAAAAGCTTACATGCTACCATAAGACTTAATAACATTTGTAGAAGATGAATTATAGTTTATCAACAAGATATAGATAAATGATAGACCATTCTATCCTAGCAGTCATGATGCCTAGAGTTTACTATTGTAAGGACAACTCAGTCGACTATATCTTCAAGAACTGAAATGAACTTGTAATTACATATGATGACCTCTGTGTCACAGCTTTGATGTACAGTTTCTTAACCTTTTTGTGTGTGTCATGGGTATTTTTGGCAGTCTGAGGAAGCCTGTGGACTCCTCAGAGTATTGTTTTTCAATGCATGAAATAAAATATATAGAACTGCAAAGGAAACTATATTGAAATAAAAGTTTAATTTTTTTCCAATCCAAGTGTTTGAACCCCTGAAATCTATCCATAAATCTGTTGGTGGTCCATGGAACTTAGATTAAGAAATGCTGATATCTAATCTTGAAGAATTAATGCTTATTATTTATTCAAGGCATTATAAAATTACACTTAAATTTATTGTTTCATTAAACTGAATTTTTGTAATTAAAAAAAAGATATCCTAGGACTCTGAAGGCCCATTTAGCTATTATATTTATTTATGTTCCCCTTTCTTTCATGATTCTGGGATTCTTCCATTCTGCACTTCAACCCCATGAAGAACCCAGGATATAGTAGAATTAGGGCCTGATTTTGCTGTAAGCCCTTTTTATCCTTTAGCCAAAGAAATGTTATGTCTCAGTGTTCCTTCACCAAATATTTCCTGAAGTCTGTAGAATGATGCTGAGCTTCAGAGAGAAGATTTGGCTTTTGCCTTCAGGGGATTTGTAGCTCAGCAGGGGAAGTAGAAGACAGGGTTACATATAAATATAATATGAGGCAGAATGGGGTCATTGTAAAAGAGAAGTGCAAACACAAAAGTGCCATGGAGAGAGGGATCATTTCATCTGAAGGAATTAGGAAAAGTTTCAAGGAAGACATACCATGAGATGGGCCTTAAAAGATAGATAAAATTTCTGCAGAGTGGGGTTGGGCACAAGGTTGAGGTGATGAAGGCAGGGAGGTGGAAGTAGTCAGGTTTGTTGGGATGAAAGTTATGGGAAAAGGAATAGTTTTAAATAAGGCTAGAAATGAGGGTGATGTCAGATTGTGGAAGGGATTGAACATCAGGCTATGTTAATGGGGAGTAAGGAGCCATTAAAGTGTTTCAGGCAAGGTGATGGCGTATATTTCAGGGAGAATAATCTGACATGTTAGGTAAAATGGATTGGGGTGGGGTAGACAGAGACAGACAGACGGACAGACACTGTGAGGATGGAAAAGAAGTGAAAAATGACAGATACTGTAGAGGTAGAGACTTGGAACTGGTTGAGGGAGGAGAAAATTACATTTTTGGCACCTAACCACAACTAAGGTTACTTACTCCTTCTGGACCCATAATTTCAGGAAATGGGAGAAGGATGTGGTCAGCATACCCCTTTCCCCTTCTGTTGCTTCCAGACCCTTGCTCAGCTGTTATCCGCCACAACTCCTCCTTTGAAGTTCATGGCCATTCAATTATACCACGTTCTCATGATTGTTGTCACTGCTACCTACTGACTTCAAGGACATTGTCCCATCTTTCTCAATGATTTTGGTACTAGGCTCACCATCTTCCTTTACACTACATATTTTGCTGTCATTCTCAGAGACTATAGCTGTCATTTTAATTATTATTCTAATATCCTAGACTCACAGTTCTTCAACTTTCTCAACTTCTATGACCTCCACCTCTATTTCAGCTACCTACCATTCTACCTCACTTTCACACAGAACTATGTGATATGAAGATCTGGACTTCTGAAATCCCCCTCTCTGACCACAGTCTCTTCTTGATTCCTTCCAAACTTGCTCTTCGCTCTGATAGAGAAGAGAGACCTCTCCTTCCTTGGTTCCTTCTTCTCAGTCCATTGCACTTGTTTTGCCTTCATTTTCCTTCCTAGTCAATTTTCAACTAGCGTTCAGCCATTTTCACAATACATTTTCTTTTACCCTTGATTCTTTGATCCCCTTGACCTTCTGCTGTTTCTGAGCTGGTAGCCATCAACCCTGGGTCACTCTCACCATA